AAATATAATAATGATGATGATAATAATTATGATAATTATTATATTTTTTTCTTATAATAATGACAATAACAAAACTAACAATAATTATGATAATATCAATAATAATAATAACAATGTTGATGATAATAATGATGATAATAGTGATAACGTTGATAATAATAATGATAATGATAATATATTTTTGACAATAATGATAATGGCAATACAAATAATAATGATGATGATAATGATAATGAGGATATTAACAATAATGTTGATAAAAATAGTGACTATGATAATGAGAATAATAATGATGATGATAATAATAATTAACAATAAATATGATAACAATAATAATGATGATAATAATAATTAAGATAATAAAAAAATAATAATAATGATGATAATAATAATTGATAATAGAAATGATAACAAATTCCCTGCTCGCCGCCACCCAAAGCAGCCATGCCAACGCGACGCCCATCCTCTCTCTCTCTCCCATCCGCCATCCTTCAGTCATCGTCATCCTTAACGTTGCTTGTGGCTCGTGGAAGGGGTGGCACGCGGTCCTTCGCCTTCGTGTGTGAATGGAAGCAGAACACCTTCAAAACCCGGTGCTGTGTAAATCTGCGTGGGAGAACATAAGAACTTTTTTTTTTTGCGCCCCCCCCCCCCAAAAAAAAAAATATATGAACTCAAGCAATAGCTAGATTCGATGCGCGTGAGAACATAAGGAACTTTTTTTTTTCTTTTGCGCAACCCCCACCCCACCCCCAAAAAAAGTGAAAAATCATGAAGAGTAATAGCTAGATTCGATCCTACTTGAACGGAATTATGATTTGTGGTCGAGGAGCTTGGGAGGAAATTAGAAGGAGGGTTTGCGGGTTTCCTTTTTGGCCAGAGAAGCCTTCGTTGCCGTCAAGCTCATAAGCGGACAGGTGGACACGGTCTCCTGGCTTGCTGGAGGACGACAGTGCTCGCGAGTGGACGAGGAGAAGCAGGTTTCATGATTCCCTTGCTCAGGGTTTCATGAGCGCGACCCACGGGTTGGGAATATATATATATATATAATATATATATATATATATATATATATATATATATATATATATATATATATATATATATATATATGTATATATGTGTGTGTGTGTGTGTGTGTGTGTGTGTACATAGATAGATAGATAAACAGATAAATAGGTAGGTAGAAAGATAGATAAACAGATAGATAGACAGACAGACAGCTAGCTAAATGCACAGATGCCAAGGGCGCCCCGCCTGACCTTCCTCCCGCCCGCCAGATGGCCGCGCTGGGCGGCGCCAACGCGAGCAGCCCCTGGACGGAGGTGGAGACCTTCGTGGACTTCCTCATCGACATGGACATCGTGATCGTGAAGGAGGACCTGGAGCCGGGCGAGGACCCGCGGCAGGCCCTGTGGCTGATCTCCTCCATCGCCTTCGTCGGCCTCATCTTCTACTTCCTGTTCATGAAGACCGTCAGCAACTCCGACATGGACAGCGTGTTCACCAACCTGTACCG